TATGATGTAGAGTAAAAATATATGAACCTTGTTGAACTATTTCATGCTGAGGATACTTTATTACATTTTACATAGTTTATGATCTCATATTCCATAACCAAACTTAAGTCTTGACTGTATTTTCATTAAAAAAGAATGTTTTCCTATTTTCAGTAGGTTTCTTTTAATACAACAGTTCTGTGCGTATAATAAGAGAAAAAAGTTATTTTCACGTGGAATATATCAACAGCTGAAAATATTCGTAATTTAAATTGTTCTACTCATTTATTAGTTAGTAGTATGATGACTACTGAAAAAATAAGAAAAATTGTTCATTACGGTAAAATGTTATGATAACTTATTCACAGAATTAGTTGTACAGTATTGTAATTAATTTATCTTTAACATGTATTCAAATTATAATTATAATCGGAAAGGAGTTTTGTGGATATGATAGTATTTTAACAGTTTAATTAATGGGTCAATTGAGGCTAGACCACCATAGAAAACCTGGAAACACTGGACGCCGTCTTGTCGTATCTGGGACTGCTCAGCAGTGAGCATCCACGATCTCGCACGCGTCACTCGTACCCAAAATCTTCGGTCTTACGCGCGAACACCAAACTTCTAGACCACTAACCTGTCATCCAATGGTATTAATGTCTTATTCCATTCAATCCACATAAATTTATTGTCATATTGTTTAAATCATTAGCAAGTAATTAGTCAAATATCTTGACTACTGGTTTTTAACTATTAGTGCCTCTAGATACTTTTTTATGAAATCTAACATATACTAAGTCTTTACACTATACCAAAGATTGCTATTTTCTGTACCTTAACGATAATAATCATGTAAATTACTTAACTACTAGTAACTAATATATAAGTATATCCGTGTACAAGACAGTAATTATCTGGACTCAATAACTAAGTGGATAACGAATTAGACATTTAAAGTGAAGAGATTAGGTTCAAGGTCCAATGTGATATATCAACAATGAAGTGTGGTCACATCAAAATAACAAGTTTCGAATAGGATGAAACAAGCATCTTGAATTCTCCTGTTAGATAGTATACAACTCTGCTCGCAACTGAATAATATTGAGATAATCTGCACAAGATGTGTACATGACGTGATGCTAAAGAGAAAACTCTGTATAAAAATACAAATACAGTATCAGAAAACCAAGTTGGTAAGGTTGATCTAATCCACGAATTTCTTAGGGTTATTCAACTCTTAATCCGTAATCTTAAGAAGCCAACTTGAAACACACTTGATATTTCACGTTACTTGAGATCGCATTATTTATGTATGGATGTTCATTAGTTGGAGTCAGTCGGTGGGAAGCTATGCTTGACCTTAGTTTCATGCTAATTAGCGCTAACCAACCAGACGTATCTGGAGTCTTGAAAGAATTACTAGTTCCAATGGGAATCGGACAGGAATAGTACAATGTTAAATTCACAGACTATCTACTTAGGTAACATTCGATCGTGTTTGAATGGGGAAATCATTTCCCCCAAAATTCTAGGTACACCTTATTGATGATAGCCAACTAGAACAAAAGTATGACCAAAAACTTGCCAAAGAATTACCTCAGACCACTTAACAGAAATGGATAATTTCATTGGTCATTCATTCATCATGTAAATTTATTAGATTAACCACATCACTATTTTATACTCAACACTGGCACTTACTGTAGTGAAACTTATATTCCTGAATAAATTATGTGATAAGTGTTACCTTAATCGGCTGATGAATACGTAAAGTATCGCGAATTGATTGTACTGATAACTTGGTCACTGTATAATCAATTCAATCCATTTCACTGGCATAAATGTGCAGTGATCAAAATAAGATCGAGATCATGAACCGATTGATGTTAGACCACCTTTGTAAACCTGGAAGCACTGGACGGCCGTTTCGTCCTGTTGTGGGACTTCTCAGCATTGCACATCCACGATCCCGCTCGCGGGATTCAAACCCAGAGCCTTCGGTCCAGTGCTTCCAGGTTTCCAAAGGCGGTCTAACGTCAATCCGTTCATGATCTCAATCAAAAACTTAATAATCTCCGCAACCCCTATACTAGCAAAATAAGATCATTGCTAAATACTCTGTGTTTTTCACTGATTGTCTAGCTACAGTCGGTAAATAATATAAAACACAAATAACCATTGATAATTTATCACGTCCAAATATCAAACTTCTTCTCTCTCCACAATTTCACTTGTTTTAAAATATTGGTCAAAATTTTTTGGTTTTTAATAGTTCAATTCATGAGTCGATGACCGTCTCTTTGTAGTATAGGATTCCTCATCAGTACACATCCATAATCACGCATACGGGACTCGAATTCGGAATCGTCAGTCTCGCGGTCGAACGCTTAAACTCTAATTTGTTTATCTGTAATCAATAGTCCTGCAATGATTTTTCTTTCCTTACATAAAATGCACATATATAATTGAATGGTTGGCGAGACTATAATTTATGAACAACCCTCGAATAAATTTTGAGTGACCTTGATGAATATTAGCCAGTCGGAAAACAGTTTGTATGGAGTAAAAATACGTCATACAAAACCAAAGAATTAAAGTGGATACACTTTTTTTACATGGTTGAAAAAATTACCAAGGTTAGTAAGAGGTTCAGAGGTTCTAAAATCGTTATGCATACGGTAGAAGAAGTTATCCATATAACTTCATAATAGTAGGCCTCTTGAGCCATGATAAAGTTGCAAAAGCTCTTTCAACCTCGACCAAACAGCTTCGACGTTGTTTGTATGTACTCCGGTTATTGAGTCCACAAAATGTTGCTTATGAGCAATGACACGATGCACATAACCAAGTCTATGCAGGAATCTGTACGCTCTCCAATAAGTCGTATATATTTTTAGTACCCGGCTGTAGTCAATGTTTTTATTATCCAGTTCGCAATTCGCCTTTGTCTCAATCTAGATCAAGTTAAAAAAACCTCTTATTCTAACAGACTTCTTCCTTCAACACATATTACATCGAAAGTAAAACAACACCACGGTAGTCTACACAGGCTCCATAAATCATCTGATTACCATAATCACAAATAAGACAAAACTTCTTAATAGTCCCGTCTGTTGTAGCCAATCAATTATCAAGTTTTCTTTGAAAGAATCCTCTATGAATCAATCGTACGTGAGAGTATCAGGTATTAAAATTAGCGCTGTGACCTTGAAATCCATTAAACATTCCTGATTGACTCACTCATAAATGATAATGTCGTCGAATAGTTTATTTTCAAATATCAAGATTATTAATATTTCTTATTGGGATGAGATTATAATCCATAAACAACCTTTAAGCGACGCTAAAGTGACTTTAAGAATGGAAACCTACTGATTAGAACTAAGTGAGGGTTATGAATCAGTTAAAAATCTCACTTACAATTGATAATTAGGGTTTTAAAAAATTAGATTAAAGGTTTTCATCATAAACTAACATTAGCTATAATGCTACATTCACTTGCTCATAAAAATATAGTTTACAGCACAACAAACCTTTCTCCAGTAAAATTATTCACTGACGATCTATTTGAAAAGATAATCAACGATATGATTAAAATTACTATGATTTGGGATATCATTCCAGCATGCAATGAACGTACGATGTAACACAGTCTGACTTGGAGAATAAAATATTACAACCAGATCAAAATTCATATCATAATCTAGTTAGTTAATAAATGAAAAACATACATTACTTACTTACTTACTTATGCCTGTTACTCCTAATAGAGCATAGGCCGCCGACCAGCATTCTCCAACCCACTCTGTCCTGGACCTTCTTTTCTAATTCCATCCAGTTCTTGTTCATTTTCCTTACGTCTATCTCCATTTCCCGGCGTAATGTGTTCTTTGGTCTTCCTTTTCTCCTTTATTTGGACTTGAGGATTCCATGTGAGGGCTTGTCCTGTGACGCAGTTGGGTGCTTTCCTCAATGTGTGTCCTATCCACTTCTAGCTCTTCTTCCTAATTTCTTCCTCCATTGAGATCTGGTTTGTTCTCTCCCACAGTACGTTGTTGCTAATAGTGTCCGGCCGACGGATCTGAAGTATTTTGTGTAGACAACTGTTAATAAACACCTGTATCTTCTGGATGATGGCTTTCGTAGTTCTCCAGGTTTCCGCCCCATATAGTAGAACTGACTTGACATTTTTATTGAAAATCCTGACCTTGGTGTTGGTTGACAGGTGTTTTGATTTCCAGATGTTCCTCAGTTGTAAATATGCTACTCTTGCTTTACCGATCCACGCTTTCACATCTGCATCAGACGCACCATGTTCATCAATGATAATTAATATAAATAAATAAATTAATTAATTAATAAAAAACACACATTATAACATGAGAAGTTCTATGATTACATGAACATAGAGATGACCGTTATTACACACTGGATGATACTCTAAATTTACGTGGAAACGTTGCATGTACATCCATCCTTAAATACGGGTAAGTTACGTGCCAAAAAATTCATGACCTATTATCTTATATCTGATTGGTTCATTTATAAAATTATAATCTCGATTTGATTGGTCCATATTTATTACTCATCTCAATGCTTATTGGTTCATTGAAAACAACACAATATAATAAAAAGAGTCATGTTACCATGTGAACTTTTACTCATTATTGCTATTGTTTTTGGCTTGTATCTTCTCATTGAGGTTTAAGACTGCAATTGATCAGTCTGTTATTGGCATATGTGCATACTGTGTGTATGCCTCGATATTACCTTAATTCACATCCAGCTGACCAGTACCAAATAGGACAAAACGCGCGTCCTGGATTCCAATGCTAGCCACCATCCATCATTGCTTATATCTGATTGGTTCATTCATAAAAATATAATCTCGATTTGATTGGTTCATATTTATTACTCATCTCAATGTTCATTGGTTCATTGAAAACCATACAATCTAATAAAAAGTCATGTTACCATGCCAACACTTATTATTATTATTATTATTATTATTATTATTATTATTATTATTATTATTAATCTAATGAGTAACATTATGTTAATAAGATTATTAATTACAATTATTATTATTTCATTTATCTTATTATGTGCTATTCATCCATCTATATGGTTTATCATTAATCATCAATTATGTTTAAAAGAGAATAGTCCATTATATAATCATTGGTTTAATTCATCTATACCAATTTATATACAATTTTATTTTTTTAATTTAACAAATCCATATGAATTTCAAAATGGTGCCAAACCTAAATTAAAACAATTAGGACCATATACATATAATATTAAATATTATAAATTCAATATACAACATAATTATAATAATAATACAATAAAATATCAACAATATAAACGATATTATTTCAATTCGAAATTATCAATTGGTCATGAAACCGATTATATAACCCATGTCAATTTAGGATTTGTTGCCATAGCAACTAAATTGAATTCGTTACCATGGTTAATTAATTATTTGATTGAATTATATGAAAAATATCATCATTATAAATTAATACAAATTAAAACAATTCAACAATTATTATGGGGTTATAATGATGAATTCTTATTATTATTATCTAATTATGGATTTAATATAACAATGACAAAGATTGGTTTATTATTAAATTATAATGATACATTCAATGATGATATCATCATTTATGATGGTTTAAAAGATCCTAAAAATATGGGAAAAATCATACAATATAATAATAAGACTAAATTAAATGATTGGACAACAATCACAGCGAATATGATCAATGGTACCGATGGTACAATCTATCATACTTATATAAATAAACAAGAGAAACCCTATATATTTCTCAATGATTTATGTCGTTCCATTCAATTAACAAGAGATTCAATCAAACAAATGAATCATTTAAATGTATTTAAATATTTATTATCTGAGGATACATTTAAATCTGGTGAATTCTATGAGAAGAATAAAGGATTTTGTTTAAATTGGTCAAATTGTTTTAAAGATGGTGTATTGGATATGTCATCATGTCAACCGAATGCACCAATTGTGATATCACAACCACATTTTTTAAATGTATGTTTCAATTTTTTTGTGTGTGTGATTATGAGTGTGTGTGTGTGTGTGAGTGAGAGTGACATGTTTTGATCATTTGAAATCCTCATATTTATTAGTATTCATTAATTGAATTGATTAAGTAGGTAGTGAATGAGAATACCAGTGAGTACAATTGAATGTATTTGAATCTGAGATTTGACTACTTACTTACTCATTTTACCCCTCATGGAGGAGCAGTATAGTCCGATCATCAGAAATCTCTATCCAACTCTGTCCTAGACTATCTGTTCTAGTTGATATTTATCCTTTTCATGTCTGCTTCCATTTCCCGACTCAGTGTGTTCTTTGGCTTTCCTCTTTTCTTCTTCCTTTCAGAATTCTAAGTTAGCGCTTGCCTCGTGATGCAGTTCGATGATTTACGAAATACATGTCTTATTTAATTTCAAAGTCTTTTTTTAATTTCCCCCTTCAGTTGAAAGCTGGTTTGTCCTCTCCCATAGTGGATTGTTATCTGACTAACGAACATTGAGTATCTTGAGTAGAAAACTGTTTATAAATACTTGTACATTTTTGATGATGGTTGTAGCAGAAAATATTTCATTTGAAAAATGTTAATAAATTGACTCATACTTGACTGTTCCTTCGTTTCCACACCAATCATTCCCTGTTTTAGTTCTCTTTTTTTCTATCTTCCTAATTTTCTGCCTCCAAGTATTTCACTTTCTATTCACGATACATACTACTTATATCTGTGGACATCAGTAACACAAACCATAGTATGACTGATGAGATTAAAATTCACAGGTTCAATACAAGGAGCCTATATTACTCATCTTGATAATGACCTCGACTATTTCATTCTCATAAGTAATCAGTGAGTGAATAGATAGTCAATAATTCAATAATCTTTATTCAAAAATTGGAACCTAAATATATATAGGATGGTTTAATTTACCCCATGAATTTTCTAAGGCTTATAATAAGTTTTCTGATGGAGGTTTGTCCTCTGATCTGGATGGTTTGGTCGTGGAACTTTCGTCGTCATTCTGAACGACATCATCAACAAACACTTCACGTAGAAGTGAGGTTCTCAAATTTCTTCACATATAGCTCACAGCTTAATAGAATTGAGGTGACCTCGATAGGCTATTGTTGACCATTAACTTGTCATTGTTTACTCCTGATCTACAAATCTCCACTATCTCAAAAGCATATATATGTATTCCTTTGATCATAAACATTCATTTGACCTATTGGCTACGATTATACGATTTACCATTGTTAACTTATTTCCATTACGTCGGCAAACAGAATCAGATATGAAAAGGACGAATAAAAACTGGAAAGGATTGCCCAGGACAGGGTTGGATAGAGAATTTTGGTGTGCGACCTATGCTCCTCGACGAAAGGTGACAGGTGTAAGTAGTAAGTAAATATTGGTTAGAAGTCGAATGGATTTAACCATGAGGTCAACGCTTTTTCTTGGTGAATACTAATATAAGTTAATTGACCAACAATGATGTAGTTTGTTATATACTACCTACTTTGATAATGAGCCAAGTTTGGTAATACAAATAAATCATCATCTAGAAACAAACTGCTATCAATAATATTGATTTTATAACTAGACTTTTTATGATATAACTGTGTTCGTAGATTATTGTCCGAAAATAAGTTATGTTTATAAACACTGACTATATATCATTATACATTTTGTGTGTATCTATGTGTATATGGTTAGTTACGAGTACATGTGAAATTTACATTATGAGTGAGGTATTCATATGTGTATATGTTTCTCATATTCCAGATTACATTACACTGAAATTTTTAGATCAATTAAATATTGTAGTTCAATGGTTGAATTCATGAGTCCATTAAAGTTAGACCACTATGGAAATCCTGGAAGCATTGAATGACCGTTTTGTCCTAGTATGGGACTCTTCAGTAGTGAGCATTCACTATCCTGCACGAGCGCGAGACCGATGGGTCCTGGGTTCGAATCCCGCTGATACATTGTTCACATCAGTCAGTGTCAATCAACTGAATATAGGAAAATTGTCTATTCACACTTGATTGTGATAGCAAACTCCTTGAAATTTGACAAAAATATTGAATGAGTTGAAGATACTGATTTGCGAATACTATTGTGAGGATTTTTTTTGGCAATGTAGATGGAGATGAAGATGAGACGAGTGTGCTGCCATGAATATACTGTCGTATTTTAATGAGAATTCTATATTGTACCAAACATATAATACCGCATAAAGCCAATAATAATCATCGGTGTAGTATTTTGAATATAATGATGAGATTGATATAGTCTGAGTATTATAGTGTTTATAACTTCAAGTCCCATATTTATTCAACAGACTAGGTAGATACACTAAGGAGAAGAATGAATGTTAGAATGTAGAGGAAGATTTTCGAAATCTCACAACACTGAATGAATTTTATTAGACGGTTATTGTAAATCAATAAGCACTGGATACGTGTTCTATATGATTACAGAATTACTCAACATTGTATGTACAGGACCTCGCCATGAAATAGATCCATGGCCTTCGTGTTTCGAAACGGGCACCTAACATTTGGACCAATAAGTTAGCATGTATTGATTAACATCTCTAACTTTAGTTCGTTAATGATAATGTGCAACCGTTTTCTAATACTCATCATGGATAACTGCATTACCGTGAACATGGATGAACTTTTCTGGGTACAACTACTCGTTAAAACTCCATGTATTACTTCTCCAAATTAACCACAGATGATTATTATTAGTATGATGGATACTCTTTGCTGACAAGTCTCATAATAAGACAAAGTCACTGTCCACAACTTCTTTGTTTTCAGTGGTTGTGTAACATGATTCAGTTTATAATTTAGAAGTACGAAATCCAATCATCTTCATAACTCACCATAATAAAGAAACGTTTTATCTGGATTCTCTTTACAACAAAAAGTTTTCAAAAACCCTAAATTACTCAATATCATATATGTAGTCAAACCTACATGTAGGGTTTATTTAAATTACAGTTGATTATACACCTCTATCAATATTGTTTGACATTCAATAACTAAGTGTATACTCAATATTAAGAGTATGTATATATTCTGATATTGAATATCATTTTATTCCAAGTGCGGTTTATCTTATCATGTTAGCAGCGACCTGCTTGAATATCTGATCTACCTGTACCTGACATCAACATTTCGCAACAAATTACCTGTCTTTTGTTTGTCTTAACACATCATTATCTTTATTAATCGCATAATTGATTTAGACGGGTTTATGAAATGTTTACGATCTTTCCCTGTACAACTTACAAAAAGTACATTCAGAGTGCATGGTGTTGAATGCTACTCTGCATTGAATAGAATGATCAATGTTCAGATGTTGATTGCTGAACTGCTAAAATCTAACTGGTGATCACTCAGTATTTATCATCGGGATAGATAAAAAACAAAGTGAGAAAACTTGTTGAAATACTTTGTGCTGAAAATTCTATATTGTACCGAAAATAGGTGAGACTATAGTTTATGGAGGACTTCTGAGCGACGCTCTAGAAGATATAGAATCCTTCACGTACCTGAGAAGCATCGTCGATGAACAAGGAGGATCAGATGCAGACGTAAAGGTGAGGATTGGCAAAGCGAGGACAGCATTCCCACAATTGAAGAATATATGAAACTCAAAACAAATGTCTATCAACCAATATCAAAGTCACAATCTTCACAACCAACGTCAAGGCAGTTCTACTGTATGGAGCTGAAAATTGGAGAACTACTACAGTCATCATCAAGAAGGTACAAGTATGTATACATAGTTGTCTACACAAGATACACAACATCCATTGGTCGGATACCATCAGTAACAGCCTACTTTGGGAGACAACAAACCAGCTTCCAGCTGAAGAAGGAATTAGGAAAAGATGATGGAAATGGATCGGACATACATTTAGTAAATCATCAAACTGCATCACGAGGCAAGCGCTAACTTAGAATCCTGAAGGGGTGCGGAAAAGCGGAAGGCCAAAGAACACATTACGTCGGGAAATAGAATCAGATATGGAAAGGATGAATAACGACTGAGAAGAGCTGGAGAGGATTGCCCAGGACAGTTTTGGATGGGGAATGCTGGTGAGTGGCCAATGCTCTTTCACGAGGAGTAAAAGGCGTAAGTATGTAAGTTTGAGCGACACTAAACTAACCTTGAGAGTGCCCCTCTAATAACTAGGACGAATTGGGGTTTTGTAAACCAATATGAAGAATTAGAATTATGATTTACAGTTGATGGTTGAAGTTAAGAATTAAATTTAGGGTTTTCATCATGAACTTACATCAGCTTTAATGTCAAAACCCTATTTATCCAAATAGTTGAGTGAATTTCGCTTCAAAATCCGAGACCTGTAATCTTTCATAAATTATGGTATCACTCAAAAATATAATATTGAATATAGCCATTATTAATATTAATAATATTCTAACCAACAATCATAAGGAAATTGCTGAAATTCTATTAAGAATCTATAACCAATGGAATGTAATCGTATCAAGTTTGAGGAAGTGATTCACAAAAGACTCTAGAGAAGATAGTCACAAAATATCATGTATAAATTAAGGTTTAACTTATAAACCATAATGTACTGCCTCAATGATTTTGGCATTAAGTATTCCTGCACTAAACTTTAGTTCTTTCATTCAATCCTATATCGGAACATATAGATATACACTGTTGAATTGTATACATTTGATACTTTATACTAACTATATTTCATATATATTCAATTATATAATATAGACAATACATAATGAACATTGAACATTCGAAAGTTTCCATATTTGTTTATCTCTATTGTTTATATATATAAATGCTAAGTGATCATAAACATACCTCAATTCTATTTTTTTTTCAATTAAATCATATGATACCATTTAAATATATCCATTTAAGATTATTACATTTAGCATAGTAACACATTTTTTCCAAAAAAAATATTATTGAACATTGAATA